GTCGTGGCTTTGACGGGGCCCGGCCCTGACGTTGATGATGTTGGCTGGGCGGTCGTGGATTTCGGCTGGCTGGTCGGTCGCGGACGCTCCTGCATTTGCAACTGATGCTGATCAAACTGGTTTTGGGCGCCGTAGATTTGAAAGAGGCCTGCCGTTGATGCCGTTCCACCCACAGACCAGGCGCCAACTTCCAACAATTCGAAACCAGAAAGCAAACCGCATCTTGAGGCGCGCCCTCTCACAGCCAGTATGAACTGCTTCGTCCTTCCCGCGAGCAAACAGCAAGCATCACCAGCATCGGTTGAGGGTTTCCTTCCAAACCACAGCAGAACAGCCGGCATAACCAGCAGCAGCGGCGGGCCCGGTGTAAACTGCAGATCGACTCACGAACATCAATTGCGGGCCGTTCTTGGAAGGCGACCAAACGCCAAGCGTCATCAGTGTCAGCTGTGAGCCTGCTCCAAAGCCACGACCATCCAGCCAGGATTACAGCTGACCCTTATTTGCTGTTCGGATGCCTGGAGCTTGGCAGTCATCATGCTCTCATTACTGTATCAATTGCTGGCCTACTGTAGATCGTAAGATCAGGCCCCTACGGGGACAACTATGCCAAGACTATCCTGCCTGGATCAGATTGCGAACTGCAACACTGAAAGATCCGAAGCCTCCGCATGAATAGGACCTGTTCGAGACCTCGAAATCGGCGCGGACACCCCGACTGCTGCGTTGAGGCCCAGGTGCGGAGATGGAACGGCATAAGACGGTCAAGTCTCAACAACCAAAGCTTCTGCTTGAAGCAGGACAAGCCAAGCCCAGTCCACCCCAAAAAGAGACAGATCTGTGTCGTTGCAACAGTGCGGGGATATATACATATATATATATATATGTATATAATAATATACATATTTATATGTAGTTGTTTATTCGTTTACATACCATTGATTGTGGCTAGAGGCACCCCGAACCTGACAGTAGCCATAATAGCCTTCCTAGTAACCCGTACATATGATGGTAACGTTATGGCACCCCTTTAAGAAGTAACCCTGGGAGTAACTGTATGGGGGCTTGCACCCCAAGGCCGATGAAGTACATGCGGGTCTCTGGGTTTCCTGAAAAGACCAGGCCGAAACAAGAAACTAATATAGGGGCCTTAGTAATTAGAATAGGGTTTTGGGGCCCATGATACTATAACTATGAATAAGGAACCCCCCAAAACAGTATTGGTAATGATTTAGTCCCCTAGAGCAACCTGACCGAGCAGACGGCTGCAGCGATGCGAAGGGTGAGGATGATGATGACGACGACGATGACGAGGATACTGATGATGATAATGATGATGGTGATACTGGTACTGCCATTGATGCTGACACTGATGCTGTCTATGCTCGTTCCGGTAACTACTATTGCAGCCGCTGCTTTGTCAACAGTTCTGTATCGTAGTGACATGGAGAAGAAACAGACTGTGCACTACCAAGCTGATGCTTGTTGCGGCATGTGTAGGTAGATATGCTTCTTTGCACGTATACATTGTAGACAGCTGCTTTTCTTCTCGTTCCTGCTGATACGAAGGCGCTATACCTTTATTTCTGCCTTTTTAGGCTTCCTCATTTTGAGTTCTTGGTAGTACGCGCCTTGTTTTTCGACAACGTTTAGATGAATCCTTAACCCTGACAACCGAAACCCCTTCTAGGAACCCTTAACTTAAGGGTGTGCTTATGATAGCACCCTTTAAGTATGCTCTTATCATAGAACCCTACAGCACCCTTTCAGGAGGACCCGATTATAAGACTTTATAGTACCGCTGAAGCGGGACCCGATCATAGAACCTTATAGTATCCTCTGAGGTGGACCCTATAGTATAGAACCCTATAATATCTTTCAAGAAGGACCCTGCTGTAGAACCCCTTTAGAGGAACCCTGAAGGCACCGACGCCGAGGAGTCGAAGTTCTGGGAGAAGTGATCGAACGCCCCCTCCCCCTGCACCCCCGGGACCCGGCAGAACATAGAAGCCAAAATGATTACCAGTGTCATTTTCTGGTGTTGCTTATGTTACTTTTTTTGCTTATACAAAAAGGGGCTCAAAACCGTACTCTAATTATTAAAGCCCCTGCATTTGTTGCGGGCATAGCTGAAGTCGCGGTGTAAAGGATGTAGGGCTTGTAATGTGGCACATTAAGTCTTGGGGTAATATTTTTATTCAACTCTATATAGTGCAGGTCAGGCCTCGGTGGGTCCCTGGCAGTCCTAGATGCCCCTCTAAGACCCCAAAACGAAGGCAACGGACCGCGTGCCCAAAGTCGGCAGCAAGCAAGGGTGTGGACTGGAAAAGGTGTGGCTTTGGCCCTTCAGGCAGCGAGTCACGTTCTGACACATGCTGTGGGGTATGTAGGCCCCACGTAGAAAACCAGGCCGCTTAGTCCTGTATTTGTTGACGGGTGTCGCAAGGCCCGAGCCCCAATGCTGAAGAAACTGACCAGGACCTTGCATGTCAGTCTTCTCGAATTATGTCCAAACAGGAAGGTGCCTTCATGACGTGTCAGGTACAAGCAAGGTTTTGCAATGGTCGCCATAATAAGACATCCAACCACACAGCAGGTGAGGTGTGCTTCTTCCATGGGTCCCTGCAATCCCCCAACCCCGCACCCTGAGCCAGACCATTCTGAGCAGCATGCATCGACATAGTACCTGTTGGAGTTGCATTTCTTGCTACGATCATTACTTTTGATGCTATGATGTCGGTTCAATTATGATTAATTAGGACTATGGTCAAAGTTGTCAATGTTGTTCGTACTGAACGTGGCGTGAGCATCATCCTTACAAGGAAGGCTTTCCGTATGTGAGAAGCATCGTCACCCAATTCACGCCGACAACCCCGACAACAAGCCCCAGGTACAGACCAGCGGCAGGCTGCTAGACCAAACATGATTCCTTTACCAGCAGCACCGCCACCATCTCCACCACCGCGACTACCACAGTACTCCTACGACTGCTGCTCTCGTAGGAGCACGACTTGCAACGCTGCTGCTGCTAGCACCACGACCACCACCACTACCACCACCGCTACCGCTACCAGTACCGCTACCACCAACACTACCGCTACTGCTACTACTACTGCTACTACTACTACTACTACTACTACTACTACTACTACTGCTACTGCTACTGCTACTGCTACTGCTACTGCTACTGCTACTACCACTGCTACTACCACTACCACCTCATGTAGCAGCATCCAAGACTAGTTACTTGTTGAGTACCTCTCACTTATCAGCTCGCAGTCGGCCGAGGAGGATGATTTCTGCACGGCTAGCGCGAAGCAGCTGCTCGGTGGGAATCGCAGTCTGAAAACTGAAGAAGTTCGTCATTCAAGGGTATCCACGGAGGTCCTTGGAGACTTTGGCAACTTTGAGATTCCCAAATCGCCTAAGCTTGGTGTGTTGCGAGCAAAATACCCCATAATATATCCTTTTTTAAAGGAGCTTTGCTATACGTCAGGCTGCAGAAGTGGAGATGCGGTCACGAGAGCCAGATCAAAGCAAAGCCTCTCGCACAGCGAACAGCGTCGACACCTCGGGAAACAGCTTAGCACTTCCCACAAAAACCTAACCCTCAAGGTGGGAGATCTATTACTTCTTGCTGCGCAAGGAAGACGAGGCTGAAGGAATGTTGGGGTTGTGAAGCTTAGGGTAGCAAGGTCGTCTCAGAGTACTTGCTGTGATGCGCCTAGTTGATTCTGAGTTCTCCTGGACATGTGGTCACTGATGCCTTACATCACAACCCTTGGATTGCGAATTTGGGGGAAAGGGTCCCTGATGTTGCGATGTTCCTACTTGGGTCTTGGGTTATTTTCCTGGTTGGACGTTGAACCTCAATCAGGAGTGTGATGCACATGGTTGGAGCTTCCTTATTGAGCGCCGTACATGCAAAGTCGATGTCGATGGCTGAAATTGTTTGCGGTAGGCGAGGAACCCTTCTTTTTCAAAGCCTTGGACCTGAAATAGAAATAGGACCTGAATACAAGCTAAACGGGGAGCGAACCCACTCGGAGGCTTTCTACGAGCGCATTGCGATCGGGTGGCTCATGGAGAACACTGCGCTGGTCTGAGGGGAGCTGCTGAAACAGTGAAAATCAACGAAAAACACGAATAGGGCGAGTATTTCATAGCATGTATAAGGAAGTAGGAACTAGTATAGTGCTGACGAGGAGAGTGGAAGTGGGTTGTTGTCAACATAGTAGCGCCTCAGACACCAGCAGAGTCAGCAAGAGTGCGCCTATACAGCCACTGTGTGGATATAGTATAGTAGTGGAGATTTAAAGTCCTTGCAATTAACCTTCAGTCGAAGCTGTGTATACTGTAGCCATTTGAGGAGTTATGCGGCAGTAGTTCCTGGGAAGACTTTGAGTTGGATTCGTTTCGGAAGTTTGTTGTTGAGGTTGAACGCTCTTGGGGTTTATGGTGCTGTTTATTGCTGGGACGCAGTGCAAAAAGCCTGGCCAAGGATTTGAAGCTGACGGATACTTTCGCCAAGGCCGGGCGACGCATTCGGTCAGGATATTCCGTTGAGGTCGGATTCGGGTTCCCAGAGAGCCCCCCCAATACCCCCCTTAATTAAGGAATGTACCTGAAATTTTAAGGGGATGCATATTATGATTTAAGCAACATTCCTTAATTAAGGAGTATTGGGCCCTCTGGGTTGATTGCATGAATTTTCCGGCAAAGGGGTACGGTAGTAAGGGCGCTAGACTGCTAGACTATAGGCCTCAATAATTACCCTGCGGTGCGACCTTGTCAGCTGGGCGGATGGGGAAAATAATTCCCTACACTATTTTGGTGGCGCATTATTTAAACTGTAGTATAATGGCCCCCAAAACCCCATTCCAATTTTCAAGGCCCCTATATTATACAGCCCCGGATCATTAAGCAGCCCAAGACCTTTTCACACCTAAGAGCTGGAACACTTCGGCGGATCTCTGCAGGATCCAAAGCTTCTTGGCTACATGCGTCTCGCACTCAGGGGTTTAGGGTTTACTTACCCTTGGCTAGTAGGGAATGGAGGAATGGGGTACAATTTTATCTACTATGACTACCATTCGTCCGTTCCCTACTAACCAAAGGTAAGTTTAGGGTTCAGGGTTGAGGGTTTAGGGTTTGGGGTTTCACTCAGGGCTTTCTTCTGTCATTGCAGCTTGAGCTCAGTGCTTTCAGCGCAGGTGCTGCTCCGGAGTGGGTAACGGCATGATGGTCCGGCTGTTGCTTTCGATGACGTTGAGGATGAGGATGAGGAGGACGATGATGATGTAGACCAGCTAGCCACTGTGGTAATAGTAAGCTCTAGGCATCTTTCATCACCCCGCGCAACTGCACAGCTGCTGCCGTGAGCGGATTGCTTCTCTGGCTGGTCAATGATGTTGCTCGATGCCAGGATCTTGCAACATCGTTGAGTTGACGACTGCATGTCTAACTTACTTAAAGCTGCAGCTTCAGTCTTCTCCCCCTGCGACTCCCACTACGCCTGCTGGTGCAAATGAACCTCCTTCTGCTGCTGTTCCCGCTCGTCTTCATTCCGTTTGAAGTCAAGCTGGCTTTCTATGTCGGGCCCAAAACGTCATTATGCAGGTCCCTTCATATTCAGACGAGTGTTATGCTATCATCGTTACGATCAAAAACCCAAGGAAGAGTCAGCAAGAACTTCGGGGCCGAGCCTTCCTACTTGGAGGTTCATGGCTAGTTGTAAGTAGGGTTATAAGTAGGATAGCTATACTTATAACCCATGTTAGGGGACTTAAGACCTTACTTATAACTGCCTATGAATCTCCAAGTAGGGGTGTTTTGATTTACGGGGAAAGGCCTTTGGTTAAGGTCAGCAGATGACCAGCTGGGCCTTGTTGAGTGGCCGAAAAAGCATCGGTCAGGAACTCAGATCGCTTGAATCCAAGTTTCTTGCGGCGGGATAGCTTCTTTGGCGTGGTCGGTTTGGCTTTTGTGGTTTGTGTTTGGCTTCGGCACAGCATGTGGCTCTTTGAGGAAAATCACGAACTGCCGGGCACCCCAGTGCCAGCGCCGAAGCCTTCAAAAAGGCACAGGCACTAATTACACTGCAACGAGCGCGGTCCGATGACAGTGATGATGCTACCGATGTGGGAGTTTCCGGAATTTAGGGGTGCCTCATTTTGGGGTCTTTATAATAAGGATCCTCCTTTCTGCAGTACTGTTTTACGGTCCCCTATCTTCGGAAACTCCCATCTTCCAAAAGGCTCACCCTCCGAACCATCAACCTTTGACGAGTCTATGTTCAGGTGCGCGACAGGGGGGAAAGAATGTAAGTTTAAAGGTGTTTACAGTTTTGCGATCTGTACGGCCGAGGGTTGTGGGTAGTTTGAGAGTTTCGTTGCTTTTGTCTTCCGACTGAGGCGAGCTTGAGCAGGACGAGTTCATTGAGAAGTCTGCGCCGGCAAGTTTGATTGTCAGCGTCGTTACCATGGCTTCCAGTAAGGCTCCGTCAACCGCATTGAGTCGATAGAACCCGTAATGGCAATAGTACTAAGTACTAGTTACTAGTAATAAGTACAATACTAGTAGCCGTAGGTATATGGGTACTAGTACCCTAAATAATAGGTGCCGTATTATGAAAGGTACCCAAAAAGGGGCCCTAATTTTGACAACCACCCATATTTACATACGGCAGTTGGTCCGGCGTCGGGATCGCAGCTTGTGGCCTTCACGGAACCCAATGGGCCGAATCGGAGCGAGAGTTACGAGGCTGAACCTGAGTTCTGTTAGGGTTCAGGGTTTAGGGTACCTTGTTATCATGAGAAAACCTCGCCCAAAAATGACGTGCTTGCAAGACTTGTTCGAGACCCCGAAGCCTGTACAGACTCAGCATTCAGTCTCCCGTAAACCTGATAACAACTTACGAACCCACCCAACACAAAACTACGCCTATCAAAAAGTTCGACAGACGCCCTTATGGCATCTTATGGCCCTCAAAGCCTGAACCCTAAACCGTTTAGGCATGTTCGAGTTGCGAGAGCGTAAACCGTTTATGTAAATTCAAAAAGCAGAAACGGCCCTAAACCCTAACCCCGAAACCCTAACCCCTCAACCCTAACCGACCGTGTTTTGACGAATTCCCGACCTTTCAGAAGCCTCTGGGTCAGGCAATCTAACGCCTACACTTAGGGCTTCAGGTTTAGGGGATTAGGGGTTTCCTGGGCCTCAAATAACCTACTTTAAGGATTTATCTATATATATATATATATATATATATATATATTTATTTATTTATATATATATATGGAAAATATGATCAGGATCCATAAAAGGTAGGTTCTTTAGGGTCCAGTAGGGTTGGGTTTAGAGTTCAGAGGATCAGGGTTCTAAAACCTACGCCCAAAGAGCAAGCCCACATCCTAACCCCCCCATGTCAAAAGAAGTCGAAGCCCTCACCTCCAAAATTATGGTCCCCTTTTGGGCACCCCAAAAATTAGGTGCCGTGTTATCCTAGGGATCCAAAAAAGGGGAACATAATTTTGACAACCACCCATGTGAACCCGGAGATCCTCCACAGAAGAGGACAGCCGCGAGGTTCCCTTATAGAACCACATAGGTTAGAAGCTGCCCCCACCCTGTAATAGTGGTACAGTAGGAGTATTCTAGGGCCCCAATAAAATCCTTATAGTCACTATTACAGGGTGGGGGCAGCTTCTAACACATAGGAGCACATACCCAGAGATCCCAATACCCCTTAATTATGGAATAGACCTTAAATCATAATACTAAGGCTTCTATAATCTGAGGTATATTCCTTAATTAAGGGGTATTAGAATCCCCTAAACCCTATAGATCCCTTAAAGATCCTTTTAAGGATAATATTCCTTAATTAAGGGGGTATTGGGTTCTCTGGGTAGGGGCTTCTCACCCCTCCCTTCTCGGAACCCTGATATGAGAGTCGCCGCCTTACAGGACCCTCGAGGGCAGCCTGGAAGACTTCTGAAGTGAACTAACCCTTAAAACACCTAAAACGTCTGAAATGAACTAGCCCCTAAAACACCTAAAACGTGATTAAACCCTTAACCCTGAACCCTATATATGGCCATTATAGACCCCTTTGAAGAAGCTTTTGGCGCCAGGTTCATGCCTCTGTCGCGGCAGGCCACCTTCGAGCATCGCGCCTGGGAGGCTTTGGAGTGGCCGGGGCCTCAGATGGGAGTTTCCGACAATGAGGGGTACATTAGTTTCGGGTCCGTGTAATACGGATCCTGCTATTTAGGGTATTATAGTAGGGTCCCCTGTTTTTTCTCATTTTTGTTTGGTCTTGGTACGATGCTTAAAGCGTTGTCATGTGTTTGTAAGGTTTTGATATGTTCGGGTTTAGAAATTTAGGGCTAGGGGTGCTTACAATGCTGTTTGGGATTTTGTTGTAGGGTGTTCAGTGTTCGTATGCTTTTCTTAAAAGAGGTTGATACGGTGCCTATTGTTCTGTTGGAGATTTCGTTATAGGGATTTCGTGGGCCTTTGCCTTAAAAAAAGTTTGAGAAGGGCATAGGATTTGCGGTTGGTTTAGGGACAGGGTTAAGTTCTTCGGCGCGACGCTTTAGACAAGGAGCTTCGGTTGGTCTTTGTTGCTCTTGATAAAGGTAGTTTTTGTATGTACAGGCTTTCACGCAACGTTTGGGTTATGGTGTCGATTAAGGGTTCAGGGAGGGTTCAGCACCAATTGAATTCCCCTGTCCCCCTTGTCCCCCAAAACCCTACTTCCCTTAACCCCTAAACCCTGAACCCCTGTATAAGCCCTAAACCCCTATGTAGACCCCTAAAAACTCTAAACCCGAAGGGTCCTCATGACAAATGGGAGTTTCCGAAAAGAGGGGACCCTTAAGATAGCACCTTAATAGTAGGATCCTTAGCCTAAGAACCCCCGAAATAAGGTACCCCTAATTTTCGGAAACTCTTAACCCTTAACAGAGCCCTTTAAAGGAACCCTTATAGTACCCCTTTAAAGGAACCCTTATAGTACCCCTTTCAAGGAACCCTAAGGTACCCCTTTAAAGGAACCCTTACGGTACCCCTCATTTTCGGGAACTCCCAAATCCTGCCCGAGCCGAGGTTCCGCGTCATGGATGAAGATGGGTCCTTGACTCGGATCCGGGACCTTGAAACGGTTTAGGGCTTTAGGGGTTTAGGGTTTTAGGGTTTAGGGCTTTAGGGGTTTAGGGCTTTGGGGGTTTAGGGTTTTAGGGGTTTGGGGTTTAGGGTGAGGGGAAAACGTGTAGGATGCAATCCCCCGAAAGCCGAAAATTAGTGGTGTCGCACCAGCCTTGCGGACAGTATTTGGAGAGGGAGTAACATATAGTAAAAGTATGGTTGCATGTACTTGATTAGGGCGAATTTTGATCCCGCTTTCGAGTGAGTGGTTTAGGATGTTTCTGGGCTTAGGGATTAGGATGAAAACTCATCTTCAAGCTTGCGGCTTTGGGTGCACGTCTGGCGGCGCCGCTGCGGAATTTGTGAGCTTGAGATTTGCTCGAAGCCCTGCACCTGAACTCCGAGAATTCGCAGCCATCTTTAAAAGCCTTAAGCTCTGAAATCTTAAACCCCTAGATTCTGTCATGCAGACTCAAAAAGGCCCTCCAAAAAAAAAGAAATCTTAAACCCCTGAAACCTTTCAAGCTCCAAACACGGGATTCAAGGTTCCAAGAGGCCCGAATTGCTCTAACACCCGAAAGGTTAGAAACCATGCTTTAAGAGGGTTTGGTGTTTAGGGTTTCAGAGACTCAAGAGAAGATGAATCATAGAAGACCTTGTAAGACCCTCTCAGACCCTTGAGACACTGCCTCTTTTCCCACCGCTTCAGAGAATCTAAACAGCGGCGAAACCCAGAGACTCCAATACCCCTTAATTAGGGAATATTCCTTACATCATATTAAGGATCCTACTATAATTTAAGGTCTATTCCTTAGTTAAGGGATATAGGAGTCTCTGGGAAGCAAAGCTGTTGAACCACAGGTCCGGCACGATCACAACTTCCGAGATGTTGAATTGCATGCTGGAGAGCGAGGCCAGACATGTGGGAGTTCGAGGGTTTGGGGTTTGAGGTTTAATCTTTAGGAGTCCGTGCTGCAAAAGGGGTTTGAGGTGTAGGAAAGTGTGGGCTTTAGGAGTTTACTTTAGGGTTGGAGCGTTGGGGTTTACGGGTGTAAACTGTCTCCCGGAAGGCGATGCCCTAGCTTCAGGGTTGCTGGCCTCAGACGAAAAGTACCTCGCCATAAACGGTCCAAGGTGCCATTTGTGTGTGTGTGTGTGTGGTGTGTGTGTGTGTGTGTGTGTGTGTGTGTGTGTGTGTGTGTGTGTGTGTGTGTGTGTGTGTGTGTGTGTGTGTGTGTGTGTGTGTGTGTGTGTGTGTGTGTGTGTGTGTGTGTGTGTGTGTGTGTGTGTGTGTGTGTGTGTGTGTGTGTGTGTGTGTGTGTGTGTGTGTGTGTGTGTGTGTGTGTGTGTGTGTGTGTGTGTGTGTGTGTGTGTGTGTGTGTGTGTGTGTGTGTGTGTGTGTGTGTGTGTGTGTGTGTGTGTGTGTGTGTGTGTGTGTGTGTGTGTGTGTGTGTGTGTGTGTGTGTGTGTGTGTGTGTGTGTGTGTGTGTGTGTGTGTGTGTGTGTGTGTGTGTGTGTGCGTGTGTGTGTGTGTGCGTGGTGTGTGTGTGTGTGTGTGTGTGGGTGTGTGTGTGTGTGTGTGGGTGTGTGTGTGTGTGTGTGTGTGTGTGTGTGTGTGTGTGTGTGTGTGTGTGTGTGTGTGTGTGTGTGTGTGTGTGTGTGTGTGTGTGTGTGTGTGTGTGTGTGTGTGTGTGTGTGTGTGTGTGTGTGTGTGTGTGTGTGTGTGTGTGTGTGTGTGTGTGTGTGTGTGTGTGTGTGTGTGTGTGTGTGTGTGTGTGTGTGTGTGTGTGTGTGTGTGTGTGTGTGTGTGTGTGTGTGTGTGTGTGTGTGTGTGTGTGTGTGTGTGTGTGTGTGTGTGTGTGTGTGTGTGTGTGTGTGTGTGTGTGTGTGTGTGTGTGTGTGTGTGTGTGTGTGTGTGTGTGTGTGTGTGGCTTGGGGTCTTTCGTCTTTCTCGAAGCCCAACACTTACTTGGCGCGAGACATTCAGAAACCGTAAACATGACACAGGGCGATCATCCGGGCAAAATGGGCAGACCCCGCCACATTGTAAGGGCCTGTCACCAAAGGCCGATAGTACCCTTCATCCCGGAAAACCAAAAGTTGGAACTCAGAACCTTACTCTCCAAAATGCAAATGCCAAACCATTCAACCCGGTAAAAGTAGCACCCTAAAGGCAAAAGCCCCATCCCCAAAGTCTCCAACCGTAATATCCCCAAACCCCAGAGTTTCAAGAAGGCACTACCCTAAGCCCTCACCGCCCGAATCCCCAAGTCTCAAAACCCTAAAACCCCTGAGCCCCAAACCTCAAGACGGAAACCGCAGGAGCTCCTCCAAGCTGTCATCCGTCACAGGCTTTTCGCCGTCACCTCAGGGTTTGGGGTCTCGGTGTTTCGGGGTTAGGGGGGAAAGAGGTTCAGGGTTTGAGGATTTAAGGGTTTAGTGTTTAGGATTTGGCACACAATCCAAGCGGCTCAGAAGCCCCAAACAACCCAAGCCCTAAAGCCTACACCTGAAGTGGTTCAGAAGACGGGTTTGTGGGAGATGAAGGCCCCAAACCCTAAACCCCAAAGCGACGTCAGTCAAGGTTGCGGAGGTGAGTTTCGGCGGCTAAGGCTCCAAAGCCACTTTAGGGGTCGGCGTAGGGCCCTACTCTCAGGGGTCTACTTCAAAGCCAGCGTCTGAGCTTCGACTTGCAGTGCCTGATGCGTTACAATGTAATATGATATGACGCAATACATTACAATCTAGTATATTACAATATGGTACTATCTATAAGAGAATACAATGTAGTATAATATCATATAACGTCGCATCATAAGCCTTCCTTGGAAAATAGCACATAAGACGGGCAGCAGCAGGCATGGCTCATAGTCGAGCCTCAGATATAACGGCAAAGTTGATGATTGGACACTTAGCACGATGTTAGTCCGACTTTCGGTTCGGAGCTGGTTTGTCAAGCCTGACCCTCAACCCAAACCCTGAAAGCTTAATAATGGGGCCATAATCACCCATACCATCCAATTTTAAGGGTTCCTTTTAGATATAGTATTATGGGCCCCGCAACCCTATTCTAATTCTTAAGGCCGGTATATTATAGAACCCTATTTTAGATCCTTTGAAAGGGCATCCTATTCTAATTGTTAAGGCCCCTTATGAAATCCTGAATCGGTTGCATCAAGCGACTTTCCACCAGGTCGGCACCCTGGCAGGTGGCCCTCGTCGTGCACCCAGGGTTTCAGGGCTTAGGGGCCTAGGGTTCAGGGTTTAGGGGCCTAGGGTTCAGGGTTCAGGGGCCGAGGGTTCAGGGTTCAGGGGCCTAGGGTTCAGGGTTTACTCCTGTGCTTGCTTGTGGCACAGGGGCTTTTTAATGAGTAGGGCTGTTAGGTTGTTTCGGGTTTGGGGATGCTGATAAGGGATTATGGGATGGTCAGGGCTCGTGCTCTCTATTAAGGTTGTTAGGGCTTGGGGATATGGCTTCAGGGATGGTTAGGGTGCGGCGGTTTGCACTGAGAACCTAAACCGCCGTAGCCAGGGTAGGAAGCGTGAATGAACCGAATCTTGTTTGGTGGCATCTGTATGTCACTATAGACATCTACACCGAATCTACACCTGCATACATGCAGCAATTCACGGGCCCTGGCATTCGATGCTCATTTGTCAGAGTTTCGGGTTAGGGTATGTGCATTGTAGGATCAGCATCCGAAAGACGTGGTGATCATCGGCCATGACATCTGTATCAGAGCGCATCGGGCTGGGACGTTTTGGGTTTGGAGCTTTGGGTGGTAGGGTTTACACAACCGACCTTGGCATAAATGCAGGCATGAATCGCTGCATGCCTCAAGCCGAAGAGTTTTCTGAAGGCTCGATGCAGCTGACTGTCGCAGAGCCCGACCCGGAGAAGGAGGGTGAGGCCATTTTTGAGCACAAACCCGACCCATGTAAGCCATGTATTCTGGGTTCGGGGCTATGAGATTGTTTCAGCTGGTATCTCATGAAGACCTTGAGAGCTCAGCTTGCCGGCATACAACTCAAGCCCGTGCTCAAAAAAGGGTTTCGGAATGCAGGAGTGAAGTTGAGATTTTGCAGTTGAACAATGTCAGAGATCGGGTACTGTCCAAAGTAAGTAACAATTGGATAATATTCATAATATAGCGATATCAGGACCTTCATATGGCCCTATTATAGACTGTTACTGTACGGGGCCGGACCCAAGTCAGAGACTCTGTCACAGAAGTTAGCCCGAAGCGATGCGACTGGCAGGTCTTGCTTCACTACGCCAAGGCCCGTCGATTTCGAGTGGAGGGCTGGCATCACAAATCGCACCGAATGAATGTAGGGAATGCAGAGCCCATTCTGTAGGAAATTGCCAGGTGTGAGCTTTCTCAGAAACCCAACCACCTGTGAATCAATTTCTCACCACTTTGTGGGCTTTTCTTATGCACGGAACCAAGTTTTAGTAGTTTGAACACCACTAGAGGCAATAACCGCGATCACATTGCTGACAGCCATGGCTGAAATTTCATGATTTCGGTGTTTACACATTTCGATTGGTGTCAGGTTCGGGAAGGTTTTGGTCCCGGAAGCCAGCATCGATGTTGCAGCCATGCCGTTGGGCCTTGCAGCCAACCACCTGAACGGCTCGAAATTTGATACTTTCGCAGAAGACTTCCCAACTACTCCAAAACTTGGACCCAAGCTTTACCACCCTGAATTCTGAACCTTAAGCCTTAAACGCAACTGCTTTTGCCAGGTGGGAACTCGCTCTCCCGTTCTTTGGGGAGTTTTTCCGCCGAACGACTACGTGGGCCGGGAAAGCTTAATAAGGCAGCCCGGGGTTAGCTCAATCCTAGAATCCAAGCCCCTTTTTCAAAGGCCGAAAAAGAGGGAACCCATAGCATTGGCCCGTTTTGTTCTACGGTTTAGCTGTTTTGGGTTTCCGGCCAAGCAAAGCCATTGCTGCTTGAATGTTCATGGTGATCCTACAGGTAGACTCGGAACTGGCTGCCCTACAGCTTAAGATGCTGAGCCCTGGGCCCAAGCTCTAGATTTTCTAAGATCTGCAACAAGCAACTAGTGAAGTGGCACGTGATAAGCATCCCCGCCCGCCGGTCTGATCGTATCAATTTGGGCTGCTGTCTAGTGGTATACTACTACTACTACTACTACTACTACTACTGCTACTACTACTACTACTACTACTACTACTACTACTACTACCACGACGACGACGACCACGACGACGACTACTACTACTACTACTACTACTACTACTACTACTACTGCTACTGCTACTGCTACTACTACTACTACTACTACTACTACTACTACTACTACTACTACTACTACTACTACTACTACTACTACTACTTACTCCTGCTGCTACTACTACTACTACTACTACTACTACTGCTACTGCTACTGCTGCTGCTGCTGCTGCTGCTGCTCCTGCTACTGCTGCTGCTGTTGCTGCTGCTACTACTGCTACTACTACTACTCTCTCTCTGGTCGCGACGGAGTCCGCCTGGCGTCCGGCAGGCTTAGCCCGGCTGCACTTAGCAGCACCATAAGTTTTTATGGTCCGAAGAATAAGGCACCGCCCCGAGGGGCCCAGCATGCCGTATGACCCGAGCCGAAGCTCCAGCAGTCAAGATAACATTAACATTAACAGTTGGCGAGCACTAACTGTACAGAGCTAACCAACAGCCCGTTTCATCAGCATCTTTGAGTAATCACTGCATGACCTGAGCAACTCAGGAATCCCAAGAAGGATATCTGATCCCGAGCGGCGGCCGTTCGTGGAGCAGAAAGCTTTGTGAGCGCGAATTAGCATTGATGATCGCATCCACCGTCAGTCTCAGCACGACGGGACTCATCCTGAGTAATGCTGGGACATATCCCGGAACCTGTCAGGTGCCATTCGGGACGGGTGAATCCCATAACGCCTCTGAGAGCCCTGAGCTGTGCGCATTGGGCAGCATTAGACACCACGCTCGAAAGACCCCTATGTGGACTTTGGCGGACGCCATACCTGTGACGCAGCAGCGTTCACAGCATGCAGCTGCATTGCGAAAACTAGAGCTCACCATCACGGCAGTGGAACTTGGCTGCACTCCATGAGCAACTGCGACTGCGTCTGCGAGCCGTCTAGGCTCCAGACTGGACTGAAACCAGCAACCTGAGTGGCCACAGAGGGCCTAAGGAGGCCTAAGGCAAGCAAGCGGATGAGGCACAAGGAATACAGGGCTTGCATTCGCATTTGTGTGAGCAACTGAGCTGAATCGTCCGCAATTGTCTAGATGAGACTTGCACCAGGCCACAGGTTTATCACCGGCTTGGTCCTCCAGTTGCTGTTGACTGGAGCGGCAAGAAACACAACATGGTTAAGACATCGCCCCGAGGAGCAAAGCACGTCATCCTGTTTCTGGGAAAGACAATGTCAAAATTCGTGTGTGCTCCATCACACACTGTTTGATGGCTCAAGCTGGGTGAAAGGACCGGCCCGAACTCTTATCCAAGGTACGCTGCTGCAATCTGCGCCGCAAGGGTGGACCGACGAAGGCGATCGGGCTTGACCCCCATACCTACAAGCTGTGTTACTGCTAGGCCGCTAAGTTTGTCCATACAGCGGCACAGCATCTCGGCGTGGTTGTTGTGGTTACCGAACTGCATGAGAAAAGTGACCGTCTCCCCGCTCATTTCCGGCGCCAATGGTCGCGTGGGATGGAACCTTGCAACTGCGTGCTGTTTGGGAGCAGCTTGCAGAACATCGTCCAGGATGGAGAGCGCATCTGCGGTTGTGAGGCCTGGTCTATCCTCGTCTCTCTGCAGCTTCTTAAGCTCGGGATTCCAGCGCAGATACCACCACATGGAGTTTGCATCATCGTACCAGTCCAGAGTCTTGAGCTTTTCCTTCTGGTCCGCAGTGAGGTTTGCAACCCTGGTGCGAAGCTCCAAGAACACGCAAGTGATAAGGGTGGAGCGAAGTGGCTTGTCCAATGATTCCGGGCTGTTCTCCTTCTTCTCCTTCCAACCTGAAGCCACACGGTAGATCGAGTACACAACCGCCTCAGGTGTTGCTATCCGCATGTGCGTCACATAGCTGGTTTCGATACGCAGCAGATTGATGGCATCCTCATGCCGGAGTGCCAATCGTTGCAGCTGTGCGAGGCAAGCCTTTAAGGTTTCCAGCTCTGAGCTATCATCCGGATTCCATGTGTTGCGACCCGTACTGTTTCCCCAGCCCGTGCCCCAGGATTGCGAAGGCTGCCAATGGCGCTTGCCGCGCTGTTGGCCTGAGCCCGGCTGTCCCCCCTTGCCCTGCGTGTCAAGCTTGGGAGCCTTGGTGTCCCGCTCCTCCATTTCCCGCTTCAAAGCTGCGTTGCCTGAGGGCATAAAGGTATTGAAGAATCCCAGCTCCTCCCGGCTGATTTCATCCATGGTCATGGCCGACGATGGCTATGAAGCTACTCCCGGACTGTACGAACCCAGACTGCATACACATTCTTCCGATGTTCCCGGGCGATCGGCTGAGGCACAGCACGAACTCCATCGTCAGTGAGATACCAGCAGCCTTCAACTTTGAGGTGCGCGCGATAGTGACCACTGTGCGGTGAGGCTCCGTAGTGAATGATTGTCGAGACCGCCTCATAAGGTACCCAGGATACTGCCCGACCCTCACCAAAAACTGGGAGCATGACACGATCTCGAATGCGCGCTTCCGTAAAGATTTTCGCTCCTTCGACATACCTGGCAAGCTGAAGAAAAGTGATCTCCGGTGGTGCCGTCAACGCATGTAGTTCATCCTGTTCATGCCAAGCCTGGACAGCGTCTTGAAGATCAAAAGCACCTGCAGGCATCAGTAGAGAGATAGGCGCATGGCCCGTGGCAATACAATGAGGACGACCTTCATGAAAGGCCCGAGCCTCCCACCATCCATGTATCCACCTGGTACCGTCAAGGATGTGATCGGTGAATTCCACTGCGTCCTGTTGTGTATGAGGAAACGACTATCCAGGGACACAGCATCGCATGGCGAACTGACTTCGAAGGAGGAGTGCCTGGTTCTGCTGTGTAGCCGTCCAGCATGCGCGATATAGACCCCGAAGTCCTGACGGCAGATCTTCATATGAGGTGAAAGTCGCGAGTAACGCGAATACCGCCGCAGCGTAGCAGTGGTTGCCTGGATTGTTGAGAATGAGCTGAAGAAGCCATCGATTGTCCTGACACTCGGCACACAACTCGACCTGTAGGTCTGGACCGTGCGCCACTGGATTAGCGAGATTCTCGGAGCGCTTGGTCGATGATTTAGCCGCATATTCTCTACCGGAAAACATGCAGCTGCTTAAGGTTCTCTGTTGCGGTTGTTGGTGAGAGCATCGTCCACTCTTGAATTTCCTGAGTCCCTAGTCTTATGCTCCCGAGCCGCTAGGAATTGGAACAAAGCCGGACACTTCGTAGCATGATCTCTGCTGTCCTTCGCCGTGCTCCCGCAGAAGTGGCATGGCCTTTGGAAAATGGACATAAGACTTTGTGCACCTGACACTGCCGCATGTTTGCCAAGCTCCCACGCCCGAGTGTGCTGTTGTTGCCAGTGGATCTTGATCTTGGAAGCATGCTGCACACGTTGGCCGCACAGGATGCACTGCTTGGCTAAGCACCTGAGTTGAGCACCCTGACCCCGAAGGACGTGTAGCGGCTCCCGAAGTAGATCGCGCGCCTGTGCTAGAGACTGCATTTCCAGCAGGTCATGTCGGGGCTGTGGAGGGTGGTCAGCTTCATGTTCCTCAATCAAGGAAATCAGGGCCTCTGGCGGGCGGCCATTGGCAATCTTGTTCTTGACCCAGCTGCAATGCCCATCGCCTAGATGCTTTGCCAGGGAGCTCCAGTCATGCACACGCGTGTGGCAAAAGCGGCAAATGGGAACCCCGTGTAGAGCATGCTGCGCACGGTCAAAAGGGATGCAGGCCTGTTCCGCAATTTCGGGATGACGTTGTCGCAAATGTTGTGCTAAGCCTTCCCGTGTGCCATAGCTGAGACCACAAACCGGACAATCAACCATACAGACCTCGACCTTGCGAACTGAGAGGATGTGGAGTCCTTCTGGCTGCGCCTGCGCAGCCAGAAACTGATCAACGACTGCATCTGCTCTGACAAGTTCACGCTGTTTGAGGTCGCTGCTGCGGTAGTCGTCCTGCTTGATGGAGGCCTGCATTCTCAGCGCACCTGCGGCAAGATGAGCAACTGGATCGATGTTGGCCCGCTGGAGTACCGTTGTGTTTGATACACCATGCTCATAAACACGTAGAACTTTGCGCATGTGTCCTGCCACAGTAGAGGCTACCTTCTTAATCACCTCCGGTGTGAGACCAATTCCAGACAAGGCATACAACAAAGAGCTGAGTATGGTGGCCTTATAAAGACGCAGACGGTGGCCTACTGCCAACGCGCTGCGAGATCGAAGAGGCCGACGAAGCAGCTGGTAGGTGGTTTCTGCCTTGCTGGCCCGATGCGCAACCGTCTGACCCTCAAAGTTGGAGTACGACAAGATTGTGCCCAAGTACTCGAAGTGATCAACACATGGCAGATAGTAGTCTGTCTCGGCCTGAATGCGAAGACACTTGGTGCCATGCTGGGTTTTGAACAACTTCTTGTTGAGCTTGGACACCTGATGACCTCGAAGCTGAATCACAATCTTGGATTTGGTGTAGTTGATGGCCAACCCCATGGACCGCAATGTTTCGATGAGCACTTTAAGTTGCTGGATAGCGTTGAGTAGCGCTTCGGGAGACCTAAAAATCCAGCATCCGTGCGTGTCGTCTGCGAAAATGCTGAGGTGGTCGCGCGACCAGCCCTGCCCCAGCTGTAGATCGAGGACCCTGCAGACTGCAGAGACGAATAGTCCAGCACGCATACAATATGGGTGCAATGGGGCAGCCTTGCCTAAGCCCCCTTTTCATACGAACTGATTGACGCATCCCGCCATGCTCAATAATACAAACCGACTGGAAATGAATATTCAAAATCGCAACAGCAATGTTTTCAGGAACTCCCACTTCAAGCATGGATCTGAACACCTCGTCATGTGGGACAGAGTCAAATGCCTTGGCCAAGTCCAGGTTGCACATGAAGCCGCCGATCAGACCAATCTGAGGCTTGTTCAGGATCTTATTAAGGTGGTCATGCTGATGTTGTTCGATTAGGCCGCGCACTTCCGAGCAATGCAAGCTTGCGCGAAGCAAGGCATCCAGGGTTCCAGCCTTCGGACGATAGGCATATTGCGGAATGTCGATGAGCCCTTGTCTGATGTAAGGCTCGACCTCTCTACGCAGAATAAGAAGCAGGCCTTTTCTGTCAGCAGATAAAAGTCCTATAGATCTCAGGTTACCTGGTGTCGTGGGGCTCTTATTCGGTTTCGGCAACCACGCCAGCTGAACAGTACACCACTCTATGAGAAGCTCCGGCTCAGCTCCGCAGAGCGCCTTCTGAGAGACAGCGGCGAGATCGTGTGATGCTGCCACGGCCTTGTCCTTCCATGCTTGAACAGAGGGCTCGCAATGAGGTACTGCTTTGTGGGAACGCAGCTTGGAGAGTGCCCAAAACCAGGCACTAGGCGTGAACATGTCTGCACTCAGCGGTAATAGCGAAGGACACAGAACCGGATCCCCATCAAAGAGCGTTGAGGCGTGCTGTGATAAAGCCCGACATTCTTCCTTTGGCGACATCAAGTAGCCGTTGGAATCCCTCAGGCGAATCCTCTGTCTTACCGTCTTGGGTGCTAGCCATCTAACGCATCGATACAGCATGCCGGAGTCATTCCTGGAGGCGGCTTGTTCGGCGATGTCCAGAATCTGCTGTTGTTGCTGTGTCTTGCGCTCTTTAGCCGCGCGTCTGAGTGCGCGATGCGCGCTCTGCATTTGCGTGTACACCCGAAACCTAGCAAAGACATCCCTCAAACAAGAAGCCGGCATACGCTTAAGCCTCGCCCTAGCATCCCAGTAAACCTTGATGGGCCCAGCTATGGAAGTTGGACAGGGTTTGGCAGGAACAGAAGTTGCACGGCTGTCCTTTAAGATCGAACCTTTGAGCTCGGTCAGCTCCGCGTTGCAAACCTCAGGAGATACAAGTGGAACTTTTTGGGTCCGAGAAGACTGCTTCAGAGACAATTTCCATGGCCACCAATCCCACGGCATAGAGGCGTGCACAGGCTGATGACCAGAAGAGCGCCACCCCGCCATGGGGACCTCGATAGCTGTTGCCCTTCTGGAAGGCCCATCAGCGAGAGCCCTGCGTATGAACAGGTAGTCAATCTGCGAGCGCCCATTTGGATGCTGGTAGGTGTATCGTTTGCGACCCCAGGTGTTGAGCGCACAAAGGTCGTGTTGCTGCAGGATTTCACCTATCCTTCGCCTTTCCGCTACAAGATGAGGCCTATTAGGGCCTAAATGAACCCCAGGCCCGACGCAAGGAGACGCAGGCTCCAGCACACTGTTCAAATCACCTCCGAAAACCATCGAAGCCCGTACAGGAAAAGATCCTAGCAGCTTGGATAGAGCCCGCCACAGGTTGGAGCGTTTCTGCATGACAGCCTCAAGGAGATCCCCTATAAATGGAAGGGAAGGGCATGCTGATATAAGGTGACCAAATCCAGGTGCTGTGGCCCAGCATGGGCCCTAACATGCAACAGTCTTCCAGGAACGACTTCCTGCCACCTAACAGAGGAATGATCAAACGCATCCTGCCTAAGAGCGATTAAAACCCCCCCTGACTTCGGCTTTGCTGCCGCGGAGTGACAGAAGAACCAACCATCCGCCACCCAATCGCTGCTCTCGCCCCGTTTCTTGGAGCATCACCACCTTGACGGTGGGTCGCTGTCGCAGCCATTCAATGGTTTCAGCAAGAAGCACCTGGGTCATTCCACCACAGTTCCAAGTGACACACTCGAGACGTCCAGCGGTAGAGGTTGCATTGACGCTCTGCGGATGCTGCTGCAGATCCGGCTGTCCAATGAGGAGTTTGCCGCGATATACAGCTTGACCATGTGCCGTAGCCCTGCGAACGGCCCTGAGCAGTGATCGCTTCTTGATTTTTGTAAGCTGCTGAGTCTGATGAACCGGAATAATTCCCCCATTCTTTGCCTTGGCTTCAGGTATGCCTGGGGGTGCAATACCAACCCTCACGCCACCGGCCCCGCCATGGAGCCCATATGACTTGTCCCCGGACCGGACCTGGAATTGGGACCAGGTCGAGCGAACGCCGAAGTTTGGATCATCTAAGATTTCCCTCGCTACGTTAGTAGAAGCAGGGTGGAAAAGGCGCTGTTCTTCGGCTGCGACATAGTAAGGCGGAGTATACTCATGGTCGACAGCTGGAATCGTAGCCAGACCCTCAAAGATGTGATAGCCCATCAGGCCAGCTGATAGGCCAGGTCAGAATAACTGTGCTCGCAGAATGCCGCAATAGCAAGGATGCACTTATCTGGAAACAGCTCTGTCACGTCCCGAATGATCACGTCAGTTGTGGCGTTAGCCCAAAAGGCCAGCAACAAATCAGTGAGGTAACGCGCAGATATGCTTGTCGCAGTAGAGTCCCAGCTAGTCTTCTCAAAGAGAATGTGTACGGCCGCAGCGTTCAGATGAGCACTTGCTGAAATCCCACCGCCGACCATCGAGCAACCCACCGCGTTTGAGCCGCTCGTGGCGCTTACTACTACTACTACTACTACTACTACTACTACTACTACTACTACTACTACTACTACTACTACTACTGCTACTGCTACTACCTTAGTACTAGTCGTAGTTGCAGTTTTAGATGGCCGTCGAGGTGGGAAAACCTTCTCATGTCCATCATCGACGGCGAGCCGTCACAGATCCTGGAGGACGACCTCAATGCCCAGACCTCAATGGAGTGCTTGGTATTATTACTAGTATGGATGTCGGGTTTAGGTTTCAACTTCGGTCGCAGGCTGGATGCAAAAAAGGGTTCAACTTCGCAGCCCGGATGCAAAAGGGCTCAGGGGTTTCGACCCATCAACGGACATTCGAGTCTCATGGTACCTCGAGACTGCGGATAAGTGTCATAAGCCTCCTTGGTCTAGATTGCTGAAGCTTTAAATCCTCCAAAGAGACTTTTAATGAACTGGAATGGGTCCAAGTTGATTCGACAGTGAACCATGGTTTTGGGTTGATACGGTCTCGGTACATTGTGTTGATCTATTTTAGTATCAGTATAATAAGGTTTAGGTGGTTCAGGTTCTTGCTTGCGACTGGAAGATCGGGCCTGTCTTTTGCTGAGCTGCGCGTGGCAAAGAGCAGATACTCCGACCTCCTAAACCCCGAGACCTGGATCTGAATCGTAAACTCTAAGAAATCATAGAACCCCCAACACCCGCAAACCCAGAGCCATATAGGACCTGATAACATTAGATTTCTTAAAGGACCCCTCACAGAAACCCTTATAGAACCCTAAAGACTTGGATCTAAATCGTAAACTCTGAGAATATGTAGAACCCCCAACAACCGCAAGCCTTCCCTCAAAACAAAGGCCCTTAAAGAAACCCTTATAGAACCCTAGAGGACCCCTTAAAGGACCCCTTGAAGGAACCCTTCTAGAACCCTACAGGACCCTTAAAGGAACCCTTCTAGAACCCTCAAGGACCTGTAAATACAACTTTGAAGGTCGCCGTCCGCCAGGAGGACGGTCCAGGCCTGGGGAGCCCTCCTTGTGTGCCTTTTTTGTAGTTCGACATGGGGGTTTAGGGTTTGGGGTTTAGGGGTTTAGGGTTTAGGGTTCAGGGTTGGGGGTTTAGGGGTTTGAGGTTTAGGGTTCAGGGTTTGTGGGTTTAGCTGTTGGGGGTTTTAGGGGTTTACGGCTTTCCTTCTGGATGCTTCTGTAATGATGTGTTGCTTTATGGGCGCGTTTGATGAGAGGTGTTTGATGCCCTTAGATTTTCCCAGAGGAGATCACGGCCGACAGTTTACTCTCCGTCTTTATGTCACAGAAATTCAGGTCTAATCCCAAGCTTCCTCCTGACAACAAAAGCCTGCCCATGTGATCGCTTCGAGTTTCCATATAACACCCTTAAAGGCTCCTTTATAGCATTCTTACAGAGCCCTTTAAGGAGCCCTTATGGATCCCTTTGAAGGAGCCCGAAACCCCAAGAAACCCTTAAGCCCTAGTTTCTGCTGCAGAGGCGTGATCTCGACAGACTGGCCGCGACGTCCCAAGATTGGGGTCCGGGCATTTGGGCTGTGGCGTGAAGGCTCAGGGGTTTAGGACCCGGAGATTCCAATATCCCTTAAGGAATATTCCTTAAATCAGATTAGGGATTCTATTGTAATTTGAAGTGTATTCCTCAATAAACGGATATTGGAGTCTCTGAGGAATTTGGCGTGGGTTCAGGGTTGCAGGGCGTCGGGCTCACAGAGTCGATTCGGGGCTGCGCTCATGTATGCACCCGTTGTCATGTAAGCCTGTGAAGCTTAAATTCGTCATTGAGGTGTTTTGCTTGAACGCGACTGCACATGTACAACACCCTGCAACCTCCTTTCCCTACATGCAGTCTGAGATCCTGCAAACATGCATACCTATATGGTTCGGGGTGTGGGAGTGTAGGGTTTCCGGTTTACGTATGTTTGTATTCAGTTAAGTATACAACTATGTGAGAAGTCTTCCTGCAAGGTCTGACCTCCGTGGCATCTTCGTCGGGATCTCCTCGATCTTTTACGCTGCCAGGGACCACCCCCGCCCTCCTTCGCAGTTTCAGTTGTTGGCTTGGTTGTAGACTAAGAGTTTGGAAGCGGTTCTCGAAGACTGTTAACACACGAGTAAATATCTTCAATGTTCGCCCACTCAGCCTATACATGCGCCCCGCTACATCCGGGCACTTGCAAATATAAACCTACCTTTTTGTTTGCGGAGGGTGGCGGAGATACATACACCGACGGCGAGCAAAAGGGGACGAGAGCTGAAATCACTTAGCCGCACGAGGTTGCAGCTTGAGGCGGCTACGAGGCTCCAATCAACTTCATGATACACATATCGAGATTTACATGTCAGATTGTCGGAGGTTCGCCTTGAATGTACAAGTACAAACAAGTAAATCGGGAATGTGACAGTCACTGGAATTCTTTCACAAGGATGTGCATGACCTTTTGCAGTATTGAGCTATCGACAGAGCACTACTTGTTAAGGCAAGTTTCGTGAGTGAACATGAACAAGACGAGGCGGCAGCTGCACCTTAGAGAGGATTGCGCGGGACACTGTCCTTGTCCTTTGGGCGTGATAGGCTTCTACATGTTGAGAGAGGTTGAGCGTGTTCAAACACCAGGTTCCAAACAAAAAGGCTGATTGCGCACAGTTCGGGGCGCAGTGGACATCAAAAGTGTAGTTTCAAGTCTTGAATAGTGCCAACATCCAAGGTTTAGTCGGGCAAGAGTTTGGGCACATTGTTCTACCCGGCTGCTCCGGCCCAAGAGTCAGCAAAGTGACGGCATTCCAGATTCTTGCTAACGCAGGAGGTAAACAACAGATTTCCTCTTTGCCGGGTGACTTCTCCGCAGCTTCCATGGCCTATTGGGGCCCAAAAGTTCTCTACTTTGGGGCTTTTTTGTGGTGGTGCTTCGTGCCGATGTACTTCTTCGCATACGACATGCTGAAGCTCATGGGGCAAGACGAGCCCACCGGCTTGGAGGTGCTACTCATCAAAGCCATAGCCATGTACTGTCTCTTCCTGGGAGTTGGCTGCTTCCTGGCTGCCAGAAGCAATAGCTTCATCGCGCGCAGTGTGTCCTTGTGGACAATGCTGGGCATGTGCTCCTACTTCGCCCTCGTATTCTACCCCTTCGACGTCCGTCTCGCCAACAGTCCTTATTTTGGGACTCCGGCCTATTATGCCATTTGGTCTTCCTGGATCCTGAGCGTCGCGCTTCTTGTGGCAACCCTTGTTCACGACTACCGCCTGCCAGCAGAATGTGGATTGGGGGCACAGACCGCAGAGCCACTCCTTGCAGATCACTAATCGGTGAAATTTTTAATGTGTCGCGTCCAAATACATGCAAACTCAGCAGAATGACCATTCGGTGGATGCATTCCGTGCCAAAATCCTAGGTGCCGGTGAGCGGTGCCAGGAAGTATGGTCTGTCAGTATGCTATCCTCGCTCTCAGCCTTTCCTGCTTTGCTCCCGATATGACGGCTCAGGGCATCTTCATTAATGCAATTGCACTAGGGTATATTGGGCCCCAAAACCCTATTCTAACTATTAAGGCCCCTATATCATAGAGCCCTTATAGCATCCCTTCTAGTAGCCCTCATAGATCCCTTTAAACGGAACCCTATTCCAATTATTACGGCCCCTGTATTAGGTTGCCTCTGTCGCAGGATGCAGGCATCACCGAGAGGCTGATACAGAAGAAGGACCTTCCGACCAGCTCGCAGCTTCAGACTTGAAACGTATTGTTGATGGACAAAATCCTGCATGACCCTAAGGACTCTAAACTATGGGAACTATGGTATGTATATATATATATATATATATCCCTTATCATGGGTAATGCAGGATTTTGTCCATCAGCAATAGGGTTAAGTTTTTTTTCGGACTGAGAGTCCCCAACCCTCACCTGAACCTTTAATCTTAACCCCGGAACCCGAATACTTTCAGAGCCTAAGATGTTCCAAAAGGGTTGACGAGATACTACAGGGGCCGAAATAATTCCCAATACTATGTTTAGGGGTCCTTTATGATAATTATGGTATAATGGGCCCCAAAACCGTATTCTAATTATATTAAGGCCTCTACATTACGTAAGGCGGAGATTTGCAGCCTGGAAGATGCCCTCAAGCGGTTTTATGGTGGGACGTACGCAAGCGCATTCCGAGACACCTAGCTACCCAGAAAGCCCAATGCCCCTTAATTAAGGAATATGGCTTAAATGATATAGGGCTTCGTTTTATGATCTAAGCTATATTCCTTAATTAAGGGGTATTGGGCTCTCTGGGTACCCTAGCCTGCACATCGTCTGCATCTTTCCGACTGTACTCATACTCTACTAACAGAAGCCGTAAAGCCCTAAACCACGAAACCCTACAGCTATCTGGCTTGTCCCAGTTGTGAAACCGTAAAGCCATCCAATAATACTTAGCCCTGAGCCCGCTTGCCTGCTTGTTGCGCGTGCTATATAGAGTTGAAGCCAGGATCCACCAATCGTAGAGGGTCGTAGGGAATTGCCAATACGATTTTGGGCTTCCTTGTTAGATTTATAGCATACTATACCCCCCAAACTCGTTTCTTAGAGTCTCGCCTTTCTCCTAAAGCTCAAGTTCCACAAGAAACGGATCCGTAAGTAGCCGTATCAGGCCTTGATGCCCCAGTCCGGAGCCTACAGTCATCCCTCATTGGAGACACCCAGAGATAGCAATACCCCTTAATTAAGGAATGTACCTTAATCATAATATTAAGGCCATGCAAGGTATATCCCTTGATTAAGGGATATGACATACCTTCAACCATAATATTAAGGCCTCTATTATTTAAGGTATATTCCTTACTTAAGGGGTATTGGGTTCTCTGTGCAGACCCTTGGCAAAGCTCAGTGAAGACGGCCATGCCTGTCTGAAAACTGGAAAGAATGGAAATGAAGGCAGTAGCCGAGCCCCTTGTGACAAGTGAAGCTTGCCCTTAAGCTAACAGGAAAAGAGCAGGTCTTGAGGAAATACGAAGACATCTCCTTACATTCATAGTGTACATACGTACATGCATACATACATACCTACGCATGCAAACCTAAACTCTAAACTTGCATAACATATGTATCCATACATACATACACATGCAAAGCATAAGTCCTGCACATACATAATCATGCATGTCTATACATACTCTGATCCGCCTTACGTAGTATAGGGGCCTTAATAAAGAGAATAGGGTTTCGGGGTCCATTACACCTGGGCTTTGGAGTACCATACTTGAAAACTTTTTTTCTTAAAGGAACCCTTATGAAATAAAAGTTTATACTTTTTTCTCCCTGGTTACTTAAAAGCCCAGACACCATAATTATACCTTCTCGGCGAGGATTGCCTCGAATCGTTGTCGTCGGCCATGGAGGCCGAGTTGATCCGAGGCAGGTGGAATCCGGGGTTTCGGGTTCTCGGGATTGCTGGGTTTTTTTAGAGTCCGGGGGACTGTGGGCGTGCGCTTTTTGAAGTTGTTTGATTCTGTATTTGTTGCTAGCTTGCTTTATGCTAGAATTGTGATGGTACAGCACATAACACATATATTGCTTTATAGAATCCATCAGAGACCCCCTCGTGCCCGCATTCATGTTATGGCTAGTTGGTTTGCTGGTCATATGTCCAGTCTAAGGGTCAAGCGACCAGAGACACGGCCCTAGCTGCTGATCTTCCCGACTCGAGCTAACGGAAAGTATAAGACTTTTCCGGCACCCTGCAATATCTAGTACCAATACTGTTATTTGTGTTTTGCATTATAACACGTTTGGACCTCAGTACATACTGTTTGCATCATGATTTGCTTCGTTAGGTTTATCGGGCTGAGGACACATAAGCATGGATACTAGTATTCTGTTCTATTGTATTACTGCCAAATATGTTATAAGTTGCAATCACATATATGTGTATTTGCATATGAACATAAGTTATATATATATACATATGAAGAGTATATGTGTGCGGATAAATATACATGCATATGTCTATCTATATATATATATACCTACATACAAAGACGGATATATATATATATATATATATATATGTTTATATATATATATATATACACATGTATGTGTGAAAATGTGCATGGTAGAGAGCTCGGCATGTTTATATATATATATATATATATATATATGCATATATATATATATGTATTCACATTTATAGCTAAACATATTTGCATACATGTACACTTTGTATATACAGTGCCTTACATTGGTTGACAAGCTCTGACCTTTCAATGCACATACATAGATGTATACACATATGTGTGCGCGGAGCATGCTTGTAGATGTAGTACAGACTTCTTGATCTGTACATACTAATTTGTTTGCTCATCTTCGTGTTATTAATACTAACCATGCCCTTTGCCTTGCTTTTGTCGGTACGTGTTTAAGATGGTAACCGAACATTCAACCCAAATACAGACAGGAATAGCACCAGATACACGATACTTTTCAATCCACAGTAAGCCGATGTTCTATAGGATACCAGCAACAAGTCTATTGTAACGTGGCACATACATGTACTTGTCATACTTTAGCTATGGTCATGTTCAGAAGAGTAATCTACAAACATAATGCGCCTTTTAAGCTTAGGTTTGTTGGCCAGTGTGTTGTATAGATGTGCACCCGTGTTCCAAGTGATCGACTTCATGTAGATACTTATACACAACAAGATAAGACATGTTCAAGATTCTTAAGATCGACAATACCAAGCCAGTGTTGTAACAACGAGTATGAAGTTAAAGATGAAACTTCTAGTGGTATCCAATTGCAGTACCTGAAACTGGTAAATAGGTTGCGAATACAGTAACGTGGTGATAAGCAAATCTACGACAGTACTTGTATTTTACCTATACATCCGCACAGTTTACACATACATTTCAAAAATAGGTACTCATACACATTCACGTATCTATACCTATATACATATATATGTATATATGCATACATACATATTTCACACGCACATGTATCTATGCACATCCAAGTTTTCTAGTATGCTGTGAAGAGCCTGTGTGAGATTGAAATAAGATTAAGTAACTGTAGTGATTTACGACAATATGATCACCAGTACTATACACTTCATCTGGGGTTTTTCCTGCAAAGAACACAAAAATATCGGCGAAGCAATATCGACCTGCATATTTCAAAGATATTTAATAGTCACCGTATTAACAGTAAAAATCGTAGTTACTGTAAAACAAACGGAGCTCAACAAATAATTGGTCGCTGTGTCCCGCAGACGCCGATAAGCCTAATTACAAGAGTGACAATGTAAACTAGACCAACTGCAGTACTCACACGTATACATGTGCATTGTCTACGAGCCTTGCCGTGAGAGTCCATTGCCCCCCAATGTGTGCCACTGACCCTGGGCGCACGCGTATTTTGATGTTTTTTTGGGTTGGCAGCCACTTCCAACAAAAGAACCCAAAAAACCCAAAGAACCAAAAAAACCAAAAGAACCAAAAAAAACAAAAATCCGACACTCTCCGGCCATGGAAATTTCAACCAATGTGTGCCACTGACCCTGGGCGCGCGCGCGTATTTTGATGTTTTTTTGGATTGGCAGCCACCTCCAAAAGAACCCCAAAAAACCCAAAGAACCAAAAAAATCAAAAAAAAAAACAAAAGAACCAAAAAAAACAAAAGAACCAAAAAAACCAAAAGAACCAAAAAAAACAAAAGAACCAAAAATCCGACACTCTCCGGCCATGGAAATTTCAGTCCAGGAGTCTCTGGCAATTGGTTTTTTTGGTTCTTTTGGTTTTTTTGGTTCTTTTGTTTTTTTGGTTCTTTTGTGTTTTTTTGGTTCTTGTGTTTTTTTGTTTGGTGTTTAGGTCTTTTGTGGTTCTTTTGAGGTGTCATCTGCAGCAAAACTCCGTTATTGCAGGGAGCGTACCTCTCTCATTAAGTATTGCGTAAATGATGCTGAAGCTAGCGCTAAAACTCCTTGAAAAGTGCACGCCCAGGGTCCCCCGTTTTGCTTTTTTAAGGGATCTAGGGGGTTATGATTTCCCTTATATAAGGGAGTCATAGGGGTAGTGTAACAAGGGTTCCTTTACGGAATTTAGACGCGTTGCTAGGAAAGTGTCTGTAAGGGTTTAGGTTTAGGGCTCCTTTGAGGGATCCTAGAAGTGGATCCCAGACCCCTGAGAAGATCTTAAACGTAGATCCCCTAGTTTGGAACCCTATTCGTCGAAAGGGTAGTGTATAGGAACCCCTCGAGGCGTCTGCTTTTGGGATTGGGGGGGGTTCAGGGTTCTTTTCAGGGCCATGTTTTGTATTCTATGAGAGGGTACTGTGGGTTTCCGGCTCTAGAGGGGTCGAGACTGAGTGAGAAGCATGGGAGGTCTAGCGAGTACGGTCACTGCATTCGAAAGGGTTACAGCCATGTGCGGATGAAGCTTCAAAGTCGAGAATCCCAAGCCTCAGACTGTTCGGGAGGCTCTAGCGAAGCCATCCAGGAAGACCGGATACCCAAAAAGCTGCGCCTTGGCTAAGATGCAGGTTTTTTTGTAAATTAGGGGGTGCAGGAGATCCTCGTTTCTAATTCGTTTAGAATGAATAGGTGGTTGTCTGGATAGCAGCCTAGAGCTGTTCACACCTCCGTCAGCAGTGCTTGCATTTCTTGACTCTTGCATCTTGCAGTTGTCTAAGTACAGCCTAAGCCCTAAGCCCTGCTTGCATAGTATTTCCCACCTCATCTGGACCACATGCCTTTCCCTAGAATGGCTCGAGTGTGAGCGCCAAAGCCCTAAGCCTTAGTGCCATTTAACTTTACGATACTGATCTGGGTCAGAGGCTGTCAGTGCAAAGCTCGCCACCTGTGATTCGAAGTTACCTTGCATGCAGGCTTGCCCCTGCTAGGTAGGTAGGAAAACAGGGTATATATCTTTACGATGCGAGTGGGCAAACCCTAAATCCCCAACCCCAAGCCCTAAACGCCCAAACCCCTGAACCCTTAAACCCCCAACCTCAAGCCCTAAAACCCCAAACCCCTGAAGCCTCAAACCCTCAACCTCAAGCCCTAATCCCTGTAGTAGCCCTTATAGACCCCCTTAAGAGGAACCCCTAAACCCTTGAACCCTGATCCCCTAAGCCCTAACCCCTAAACCCCTTAGGGTTTAGGGTTTAGGGATGATCTGAGGCACCTCCACCAGCAGAAGGCGAACCAGTTGTGAAGTGCGTCTGAATACTTTAAGGGGCCCAAATACTTACCAGTATTATAGGGTTTATAGGGTTCCTTTGAAAGGGGCCTATCAGGGCTACTGTAGTAAGGGCTATTATAAGTATTTAATTAATATAGGAGCCTAAATTCTTACCAACATTATTCCTAGGGTTCCTGGGCATAGATGTAGTATAATATTTCCCAAAACCCCATTCTAATTATTAAGGCCTTCATCTATGTGCCCGAACCCTACTAGTTTCAAGGCCCCTCTAGACTGGTATAGGATTTCAGGGTTTAGGTTTTAGGGGTGTTGCCAAAGAAAATGAAACACTCAAATTCTGAGCTTCCAAAGAGAACAGAAAGTCGCAGGTATTCCTTCTTCGGTACTGACGCTTAGAAGTCTAGGGCAGAGGATTTCAGAAAGGGCTGTGTGCATGCGCATGTATACATACTCTGATACATGTAGCACCAAGAAGCGCAACATTTATCAGACCGGGCACCATGACAGCCCACTCTTTGGGGCTATATGTTGCAAGGATTCAAGCCTGCACACGCTTCGGAGGACCCCATGGCATCTGGAGCGTGCTTGTTAGAAGTGCCCTGCGAGGAACGTACCATTCATCAGAGGGATACAACCCCTTGCAGTTCCATAAGTATAACGCTTAAAGGGAGCTTTTGCAGGAACCCTCAGAGGGACCTTTGAAGGATCCCTTGAAGGAAACATTCCTTCCTTCAGCTGACGTCCGGCAGGTCGCCAACTTGGCCATGGCGACCCACTCAACCCGACTCAGGGTTTAAGGTTCAGGGTTTAGGATTTGAGATTCCGGGTTTAGGGCGCTTCGGGTCTTTAGGGTTTCGGGTTTCGGGCGCTTGGGGTTCAGAGTTTAGGGTTCAGGTTTTAGGGTTCGCTAGACTTGAGCAAAGTATCAAGACGGGTTTAAAGTTTAGAGTTTAGGCTTTGTCGTAGGCTCCTGACTGAACTCAAAAAGCTTCTACTAGGGCTCTAGAGATATGCTACCAGGGCTCGAGGACGGCATCATAAGGGGGATTCTTTACTAGCAGCTTTATGAGTAGTCAGTACGCCTCCTTTCTCCTTAGAGCGACGATGGCGGCGTATGTCATCCAATGAAGGCCCAGAGACTCCAATATCCCATTATTAAGGAATATATCTTAAGTTATAGTAGGCTCCCTAATATCATTCAAGGAATATTCCTTGATTTAGGGATATTGGAGTCTCTGGATCCTACTTTAATAAGGTATATTCCTTAATAATGGGATATTGGAGTCTCTGGGGGCTCGTTGTCAGACGCCTTGATGTCACGCGATGTGCCGGCGAGGCGAGCTGGCGCTCGGCGGCGCGTCCTGCCCCGGGGCAGGCGGCAGACGCAAACCTGGGTGGTTGTCAAAAATGTGGTCCCTTTTTGGTTGGGTCCCTATTATAGTACGGCACCGATTATTTAGGGGACCCCAAAAGGGACCATAATTTTGACAACTACCCAGCTGATGACAGCAGCGTGCCTTAGCCGCCCTGGAAGACACAGCGGTTGCAAGAAGCGGCGAAGGAGGCTGACGACGCTCCAACGGAGACCCGGCACAGTTTGCAGCTCTTTCGGGCAAACTCCACAGGATCTTGACGAAGATCTGTTGCCAGAACCGACGGGAGTTCGTGGCGTGGGCTAAGAAACGAAAGACGCGGCCGGCAAATGCACGATCGCCGAAGGATTTGAGTGCGCCGCCCTGCACGAAAGTCAGATGCAACTCGCAGGGACGTGTCCTAAACCCTAAACCGAACTGAGCAAGACTCAGAAGGAGGTGCCAGCGCATCTCTGTTGTCGGAGAAGTTCAACTGACCCTTCGTAGTCCCTGTATAAAAATTAACGGCATAAGAATGACTAATGCATGCAAGGTAGTATCACCCTGCGGCTCAGCCTGCACAGTAGGTAGTTGAACTAAGTGCTCTGATTATTAAAGTGTCCTGCAGGGAGACTTTTGTGATTTTGTGGATGGAAAACCCAAAGGCTAGCATTCAGAGCCCAAGATTGCTGGACAGGCAGGTCCAAAAGATAGCCTCAATGTAGACTCGGGTTTGGGGCATGGATACGGGGACTGGTGTTGCAAAATTGACGAAAATTGAACGAAGAAGCATGGCTTAATGGAAGTGTTAAGAAGCCCGACAAGGTATCGCGATATGAGTAGATTATCTGTCAAATGATCCCGGTTTAGTAACGATGTGAGATGGTTCGAAGTTCTTCAGCAAGTGAAAAACCGGCAAAAACTGATGAAGGATGTTTAGGGACCGCCTAGGGTTAGGGTTTGTTACAAAATGTTACAAAAGACAAAGGGAACATTACCATGAGAAAGTTCAGCCTGAGAGGTCTGGATGTCCTTTCAATGCTTGGTGGAAGGATTGCCTTCAAGCCTGCAAGATCAACCCTAGGAGGTTGTCAAACTCTAAAGGGTTCAGTGCTTAAGGTAGCGAGGTTAGAAACTTAAGGGTCAGGGTAGCATTCTGGGTGTTTAGGATTTAGGATTGAGGGCGTAGACGTAGGGTTTGCCAGTTTAAGGCTCTTAGGTCTCGTAGTCAACTTCAGGGTACGACCCGTGCCCCACTCCAGCGAGGATTGAAAACGAGGTGCCCCAGCCGCACAAGTCTTTCCGCCCAGGCAGCCCAATTCCCTATCAAGGAACACTCCTTTGCGTCTCAGAGTGCTGAACACCATAGCTTAAAAGGTGTATTCTCTACATCTAGATTATCTCAGGGCTTTATGCTATGATTTTAAGGTGCACTCCTTGCGTAGGAGTTCGTGAGTCTCTGGGAAACGAGGCTCACAGCTTCATCAGCCGTTTGCTGCACGATGATGCATGGCCAGATGCTCGGTTAAGGGTACGGGGGCCGAAGAACAAAAACTGAAGCAGCTTTTGGATAGGGGCCGGAACAACTCTAAATGGTCCCCCTATCCCGGTTATGTTAGCATATACCCCCAAACCCTAGCCCCATCCTTCAGGCTCCTATAGGGAACTCCAGAAAGTTGGAATATGGGTTAATGGTAGGATCCCCTATAATTTATTTTAAAGGGGTTACGATAATGATATTCCCACTTTCTGGCTTCTACTGTATAGTCTATTCCCTCTTCACCTCTTCAGAGTTCAGAACGCTCTGAGCTTTCAGCGATAGAGATGTTTACCGATCTGTCGCCGCAGGATTATCGACTCTTGGGGCTAGGTGTAGTATAGGGGGCTTCAATAGTTACCAATACTATTGCAGGGGGTTCCCATTTTACTTGTAGAATAGTATAATACAGTATAATATAGTACACCCAAGACCCTATTCTGACTATTGAGGCCCCTATGTTAGGCCTCCTCCTCCAAGAACTAATGGGGCTGAAGAAAAAGTCATGTCAAGCACAAACTGTCCATGCCAAATGTTTTGTAGACTTGGAAATCAACCCACATCGCTTGGTAGAGCAACAGCCTGAACATAAAATGGCCGGCTGCAGTGAGAAGGGTTGGTCCACACCCGAAGCCCAGCCACAAAACCTACGTCGTGAACCTTGAACGCAATAGCATATGCTTCTTGTGCCGCAGAGATAACAAGGGCCAGAGCCTCCTTGTCGGATATATCGCTTATCTCTCTCTCTCTCTCTCTCTCTCTCTCTCTCTATATATATATACATATACATGTACGGATACATGTATTACATATATATATGTATATGTATATATATATATATATGTATATATATGTGCATATATATATATATATATCGCCATGCGGGAGCCAAAAATACATATATATATATATATATATATATATATATGCGTGTGTGTGTGGAGATATGTATGGATACGTGTGTATACGAAGATGTGTACATATAAGGTTTCAGAACATCAGCCGCCGAACGACACGGGCGAAACCCTTGTACCCATACAGAAAGCCTCGCAGAAGCTTATGACATATATATATATATATATATATCTATCTACCATCATCTACCTATCTATCGATACTTCTACAACCATCAACTACAACAACACAGGACCTTATAACACCGTAGGTTTGTAGAATTCGAGACAAGAGGATATGATACACGTTTAGAACCTTCAAGTATAGCTGGGCAACACATGTGGAGCATTGTAGGGCCCTGATGTTCGTCTGAGATAGCCAACTCGAGAGCACTGTGTATGTGTAGATATACATACATCCATAGATATGTCCTATCTTATAAACTACAGTATTTGAACTTTTTGGGCCAGGGTATTGAAGAAGAGTGTCATGGATGCAGAGGGACTTGGTCACAGCACAGCGAAGCTTCTACCAAACCAGAAGCCATAGACGCCAAGGTTTCTTAGTTAAGGCTCATAATATAGGGGCCTTAATTTCAATAGGGTTGCTTCCACCAGGTTTTATAAGAGCTACTAAGGGATACTACAAGGAGCTCTATGATATAGGGGCCTTAATAATTCCAATAGGGATTTGGGGCCCAACATACTCTAAAAGGCACCCACTTTACCTTAAGATGTCGAGAGATTCCATGTTCAGGGTTTACGGTTTAGGTTCAAGGTAGATTCAAGGTATCTTCGTGAATTCTTCAACAGGGTGTCGGGTCTCTAGGCGTCGTTGCCTGGCAAGGCTCTACTTCCGCCGCTCCTGGCAGATGGGCTGCTTTCACGAACATGGAATTTAAGATCTAGCTTTCAGGGTTTAGGGTTCGGGGGGTTAGCATTTAGCTAAACCCTAAACCCTAAACCTTAAACCTTAAACCGTTTTGTTTTGAGGTTTTCGAATCTTTGGAAAAGGCACTTTAGAACGAGAGGGAATGCCGGGAGACTGCTCCGGGTTGTAGCGTTCAAGATTCAGGATGGGGCTTGAAGCTTGAGCAGCACGGTGGTGCGGTTGATGATGTAAATCCTGCATTACCCATAATAAGGAATATACCATAATTCCCATAGTTTAGGGTCCTTAAGGTAATGCAGGATTTATATCATCAACAGTATGTTTCTCTCGTTATGTCACATTGCTTTCCCCTCCAATGCCAATCGCGAGTTCTCGAAGTCAGGTCCATGCACAACGAAGGAATCTGTGTGTTTGCGTCCTTTCTGGTTGGAAGTTAAAAGTTTGGGCTTGAGGATTCGGAAGACATATCTTGCGGTTAAGGGCCTTAGATCAGGGTTAGCAGGTTTGGGGTTTAGGGCAGCGTTAGCTTTGGCACCAAACACTGCACCCAAATCTGGATTCCTCTCGCCCAGCGCAAAACACCGAAGGGTTTTGCAATCCTAAACCCTTAGTCATCCCTCAACCCTAAACCGCTTAATCCTGAACCCAACACGGGGTGCACTGAGGGGCGAGAGTTTGGGTTTGGGGTTCAGGTTTCGGGTTTAGGTATGCCACAGGGGAGCGCTGAAGCCATTCTTAAGGGTACGGTCGAATTGACGGTGCCTGACACAAGCATACCCAGAGACCCCAATATCCCTTAACCGAGGCTTCTCTAAGCTGCATGGGCTGTAGGGCTTCATATAGGAACCTTTAACAGGTTTCGATTATGCTGTAAGGTTGCCAAGGTGGTACAACTTATACTTATACTGTAATGACTCCAAAGCCCCCCATTCTAATTGTTGAGGCCCCAAGATTACAAGGTTTAGACCACCAGGGTGACATGTAAGTTGTGCATTCTGAAAGACTGCTCTGCCGTTTGCAGAGCACCGGCTCTGAGCAAGCGCCCCCATTCACCGCCCAACGCCGCAAACTCCGAATCCAAAGCTCAACAGAGTAATGCATTAATGGGTTGAGGGATTCAGGATTCAAGATTACTGTAGGATTTAGGATACTATCAAGCCCAAACCCACTGTAGCGTAGCGCGCTCAACTCTTGCACACCCAAGAGCTGGATCTGTCTAATTGCTTTGCGCCAGAAGGGGATTCTGGGGCTTGGTGTCGAGGGCTTGTGGGTCTATGTTTAAGGTTTCGGGGTTTTGAATTTTAGGCTTTCAGGTGTGCGCGAGACGGGCGTCTAGTCTCGAAGATCGCTGAGCTCTTCTGGGTTCTTGTTACGGGATTGAGTTTAAGTTACCATAGTGGGGACGTAGAGTTGGTTGTTTTGTCTCTTTATTACGGTAACTTAAATGAAATCCCTTAACAAGACCCTAAGCCTTAAACCCAAACCCTTGTGCAACCCTTAGAGGAACCCTGAAATATGGTAACTCCCTTTACCAAGAACCTAGGCAAGAGCTCCTTCATAGCCACCTGGTCACTGGGTGTGCGCGGGCCTCAGGGGATTTTGGAGGTTCTGTGCTCGATACAGGGTTTAGGGAATACGGAACTGATGACAGGTTTTGGCTTGGTAAACAATACATGCATTGCAATCTCAAGAAGAATGCGTTGTACGTGTAGTTTTGCAGACAACGTGCGGCCTTGGCACACGAAGCCCCTATCCCAAGCCAGCAGGGCCGTCAATATCAGATCGCATCGTATCCTGGTGTCGGGATCGCGTTGGGAAATCCTGCGTCAAAGTGTCTTAAGCATCTTTTTGGCTTCTGCCGGTGACCCCAGAACCCTAAGCTCGATGCCGTCTCTGCTGCTGCCCGGACGCTCAGCTTATCAAGTACAGAGCAAGAGATCATCTCAATGTACAGTCCAGCGCTGCCTCATGCCACAAACCGAACCCGAGGTGTCTAGGCCTGAGACGGTTGCCTTTCAGCTTCCCGTGTAGGGTCTTTACTTACCTTTGGTTAGTAGGGACTGGAAGAATGGTAGTAATAGTAGCTATAATTATACCCCATTCCTCCATTCCATACTAACCACAAGGGTAAGCTTAGTCTATTCTGGAGCTTCGGGTTTGCGCTGCTCGACTAGTCATACCAGCACCGTTTCTGGTGAACTTTTCGGGGCTTCAGCACCACAAGGCCCGAAGCTGTATAAGTCCACGGTATTCCTTTCATAAGTCCACGATCTTCCTTCGATTATTAGCAGAGTTTATGGTTTAGAACTCAGGGCTTAGGGTTTAGGGGTTTAGGGTTTAGGGGGGCTTTTAGGCTCTTCTCTGTGTACAGGCACAACTACTACACCCCTGACACCCTGTGTTACTGAGCCTTGAGTTGATACAAGGGGTGAGGAATTGGCTGTGCACATGTGCGATGCTCTGTTGCGGCAACAGCGGGAATATCGATGATGAGGACTGGACTCAGGAAGTTGAGCCTGAACCCCGACTGTGCGTACCCGTGGCTTCTTAAGTCTCTGCGGTCTGATGTGTTTATGTGTTTCTGCGTAGGAGCTTCAACAGGGAGTGACAGATGCCTCTGAAGTGATCTGTTCACCAAAAGCGTCTTTGGCCTATATGGGAGTTTCCGAAAATGAGGGGGGGTACCTGATTTGGGGTCCTGATAAGAAGGATCCCATTATTCGGGTACTATATCAGGGTCCCCTATTTTCGGAACCCCCCATATATTCAGACGTGGGGCACATGACCAAGCAAGCGACGACTCATAACAGCCACCTACCGAATAAGGGCTACGAGCTCCCAAGTAGTAGCAGGGCAACACATCTGACGACAACTGTGGAACTATTCCATCATCACATTCGACATCCTACGACGTCACAAGACGTATTCGCAAGAAAGTAGGGTCATAAGCCCCCTAATATGGGCTATAAGCATATTTACCCTATTTACAACCGAATTTTCAACCAAAAAACGAAGAAGTGGCAAAGTGTGTTTGTCTCGGAGGAGGTGCAGCTGCGAGGCGGCAAGGTCACAGACAGCGAGCTGGACCGCTGGAAGGCGCACGTGGGGGAATTTTTTAGCTTCGGGGTGGCGAAGGCTTGGAGTTGGGCGTGCTTGAGTTTCGCGGTATAGGCTGTTGGGTTTCGGGTTTATACCGTGTGCATATTCAGGCGCAGACCCATAACAAGCCTGTTGCGAAGCAAGGGGCTTACGTGGCTTTAGGCTTTGAGCCAGGGCCCAGCGCAAGAGGGTTTCTCCTTATGGGTAGGTCTTCGGAATTGGATCCTTGGAACCCTAAACCCTGTACCGGTTCCTATCACCGAAGAAAGAAGAAGAAAGGGCCAAGCCTCGAAGCCAGGCAAGTTGGTTTTCGAGGATTTAGAGTTTAGGGTTGGGGGGATTTAGATTGTTTAAGTTCGGGGGTTTAGGAGTTTAGGGTTGGGGTTTAGGGTCCAGAGTTTAGGGTTCAGGCCCCCCAAATCACAAGACGAGGGACGGACCTTACGAAGGGGAACCAGCGTTCTCCGTAGCCACGTTGAGAGGGCTGGTGCGATAAAGCAGAACCTTGCAGAACTCCTACTACTAACCTATCAGCTGAACCCCAAAGGCTTAAATCCGTTACATAGAATGCCTGCCTTGTGCGAGTGTGTGAGTCGAAATCCGTTATAAACGGAACTTGTGAAGACTTATGCAAACGTAATCCCTGAAACCTAAGAGCCCTCAACCCACGACCTTCGGCCGCCAAGAGAGGCCCAAGCGCTCGCACCGGAACCCGACGTACCAGCTGCGGCCGCCCCTCGGGAGATCGTGTCGTCTTTCCGAGGCAACGTGAAATGTGGGCTTGGTTAGAGTTGGGATAATATGGTAACCTGGCAAGCATGCGATTTCCAAACGCTCCCAAGTTTTGAGGCAGCTTGCTTTCCACAAGGCAATTCTGCAGCGAGGATGTTTGATGTTTGTCTTGGGATACGGTGACCAGTACTCAGTTTTGCTGTGCGTACAGGCATGCTTGTGCAGATGTGGAAAAGTGTAGAGGTACCGAAAGAACAGCCAAGGCTGTTGTTGACGAGCACCTGCAAATATTGCTACGCCAACACTGCGTGATGATCTGCGACTTGCGACTGCTACGACTTCTACGGCTACGGTGGTTTAGAGTCTAGAGCTTAGGGTTCAGGGTTTCATCAAGTCCAGGTGTAAATGTTTAAAAGGGTTAAGGCTGATGGTGCTGCTCCTGCTTCTGCTCTTCTTGCTGCTATGGCCAGACTACTGTTGAATCCAAGCACCCAGCTTCGCACATGAATCCCACGACAGAAGTGCACAGGCCAGGACCAGTCGGCTGTCCAGAAGGAGGCAGGCTCATATTTGCGTTCCTTGCTTTGTAGACATGAGAAAGATTCGATTTTTGACGGCGAAGTGAAAGGCAGCTGAAGTAGTTCCGTAGCCCAAGCGTAGAATGCAAGTGAGGATCTTGCACGTATGTGTGTAAATGTAAACATGTGCATATATATATATATATATATATATATATACATATGTATGCATATAAATGTTCACATACTTTATATACATGTGTATATATATATATATATATATATATATATGGTCACCCCCGTTGTTTAACAGGTTTATTTGGTGCATCGGAGTTGGTGATCCTCACGCAAGCACATATTGTCCCACTTTCCGGCTGCTCATTTCCGCGTTGTTTTGGAAAAACATGCAGACAGCTTACGGAAGACAAGATTCACAGGACCCCAAAGGCCGGAAACCCCAAACCTGCGCCGGAACTCCCAAAAGCTGAAAGGCCATGGCGCGCTTAGTTCGATCTTTCGTTCGCGGCCGCGCGCTGGAGGCCTTGGCTTCTTGCTTCTAGCACGGTTTAGGGTTTAGGGTGTATATATTTTTTTTTAGGAACCGATTATGGATCCCTTATAGTAACCAATAACAGGTACTGAAAGCAATTGCAGCTGTAGTGGTAGGAGGAACTAGAACTACACCGCCACGGCTACTGCTGCGACGACTACTACTACTGCAACGCCGTTGAGGGCTTAAGTTTACGTTGTGGGTGCCATATGCGTTCCGAGCTTACCCTGCAGAGTTAGGGGTGGGGGTGTTGGGATGTCACTGGGCCAGTGACATGTGGGAGTTTCCGAAAATAGGGGACCTAATATAGTACCCCAAATAGTAGGATCCTTATAATAAGGATCCCCAAATAAGGTACCCCTAATTTTCGGAAACTCCCATGTAGCATAGACCGCAAGCACTCGTCCCTTCCGGGCTTCTTCTGGCAGCCCTGCTCTGCCCAAAGCAGCTTTCGGCCTGATGGTAAAGTTTTCGGCTGCCCTATACCGATCCGATGGTTCAAAGCTTCATACTACCCGATATTGCAAACACTCGGTCAACGGTATCGCTAACAGAAGCGATTGGCTCCAATCTGCGAGCCTTGAAACCATTGTGCAAACAGTGAGCAAGCCATCCTACAGAGCCCTTTTCGTGAGGTCTTGGAAAGAGCCATAGCAAAAACAGTCGCAATCAGAGTGGCAAACCATCTATGTTTGCTTTCGGTTAGTAATCCTCATCGTCGTCGTAGCCGTAGTCGTAGTCATAGTAGCAGTAGTGGCAGTAGCGGAAGCAGTAGCATCAGCAGTATCAGCAGTAGTGGTCATAGTCGTCCACGTTGTCGTGGTTAACCCTTCAACCCTCCGGGTTCGTCTCTAGGAACCCTGAACTCTCTCACTCCAGGTTTCGTCCTTGGCGCGGGGTGCCGGGTCCCACGAAGCGAGTTTTGACCGGGAGCTGTCGCAGTTGCGCCTGAAGCCGCTGACCGCGGAAGGCCGAGACTTGGGCTTTTTGATTTTCGGGGTACTTGAGTAGTTGTTTACGTGAGTCTCGGGTGGAGACTTCGAGTTTTCAAGAGTAGGCGTACTTGAGGTTTCGTGGCCGCCGGCACTGGCATGTTGGCTTTGTCCTCCGTGAACTCTTATCGTGAAAGAGCCACCCAGTGGGCAGACTGCTGAACTATATACTAACTTGGAGAAGGCAGGCCTTGTGTTACCTTGTTGATAATTTGCACCTGCGGATGCGGAGCAGGGCTGCAGCCAATCTAGGAAAAATCCGAGACCCTCCGCGAGGTGTGGAGTGGTCCATTCCGTTTCTGTACGTCCTCGACGCCGTGGTCGAGCTTCCTCCCGGCATCTCCAGGCCGATGTGGGAGCTTCCAAAAAAAATTGTGGTGCCTTATTTCGGGGTCCTTATTCTAAGGATCCTGCTATGTAGGGTACAAAATTAGTGTCCCCCATTTTCGGAGATTCCCCTTTTTCATCATAACTACCCATACAACAAGGATATGAGTACAGGATACCGCAACCACCACGGCGATTGATGAAGCAATGGTTCGTGCAATCATAATAATGAAAGAATGCCAACCATAATTGAGATAGACAATGGCGATAGCGCTAGTTTCAGGTTAGAGCAAGCCATAAGCACCACCAGTACCAAGCATTGTCCTTAAACATATTCTTGGCCCGTACTGCAAGTCTTATGT